CGATAGGAAGGAAGGAAGAATACTCAGTGATAGATAACAGAAGGACCAGAGACAGGAAGTACTTAAATCTTGACTACTGTGCCAAGCTCTGCTTATATCTATGAACTTTCTTACACATTATTTGTATTTTAATGTATTTCTCACTTAAAATTGAGTATTTTTCAAAAGACAAAGCCTTAGACTGGTGCTTTGTAATATTCACAATGACAAGATACACATTTCTAGATATAACCAGCTGAACAGAAGGTAGAGATACAATGAAGGCACAACCACTGCAGACTTCTCTTTTTGAGTTCAGTGCTGACTAGTACCAGTGAATCAAATGTAACAGAAGTCTTCTACTCTTCTTATCTTTAACTTAATATAACAAATGAAAAAACAAACTCAGCCAATGTATGTTTAAAGTTGGAGTGATATTTTAAAAGAATGAAAAAAAAAAACCCTGAAAATGACTTTTATTTCCAGAACCTCAGAGAATTTGAAAGAAAATGCAAACTGCAAACAAGGTTTGGATGAATAATGTTCTAAAACCCAAAACAATTCCCAAAAGAGACAATATGTATACATAAATTCAATTTTCTTAAAAGAAAATACATATCATGAGCAATCAAAAAGAAAGCAAACAAACAAAAAAAAAAGCCTAAGAACTGCCAGGTGGCACATGCCTATAATGCCAGCACTCAGGAGGCTGAGGCAGGAGAATCACTGTGAGTCTGAGGCCAGGTTCGGATACATACTGAGTTCAAGGTCAGTCTGAACTACACAGTAACCCTGTCTCAAAAAAAAGCCTAGGAACTAAACACAATGCGTGAAATCTGACTGAATCCCAGATCAAAGGGAAAAAAAATTAGGGACGGTTGGAGAGACCTTAATCACTTAATAATGCATCCTGATCGTCACTCAGACAGCATGTTTGTTTATATACAGACTCTCTTAGGTGTTGCTCAGGCAAGAGTCATTTTAACCAGTCGATTCTTATTTACAAGAGATATAGTCATACACCCATTTGTTTTATACCAACTATTTTTGCAGACTTTTTTATTTAGAATGTTATACTCACCTTTGATATTGGCTTCTAGTGAAATGTAATAGTAAGTTATTTTCTTTTACTAATTCTTGTTTATTTGTGAAAAATAACCTGTAATTTTGTGCTATTTATCAATCTCTTATTGTAAGTATATTACATATAAATTTTATACTTTTTCAGAATTCAGTGATATTCTTTTACAATATAAAATGGATATGTTTGGGACACTGAGGATGAATAGAAAGTGCCAAAAGATATACAAAAGAAAATACTGAGAAAGAAACACTAGAATATCAGAGAGGAAAAGTCTGTTATAAAATGGAAAAACAAACAAAAAAGATGTCTCCTTATCATCAACTATTCATAACAGAGAAATGACAGAACTTTAAAAAAAAAAAATGAATCCAAAAAAGTCAATGATTATAATTCTATAGATGGTGCTGATAAAGCTGACCAATATCTAACAAGCTATTTTGTAATCAGAGAGGAAAACAGTATCATTAAAATATATTTATATTGGATCAAACAATAAAACTCATTTGTTAATTATTCAAAACAATTTATATTAGGTCTAATAGATCAAATAATTGAGATATATGGAATGGCAAAACACCAAGGACGTCCATCATCAACAACTTCCCCATTATGGGTAGACATTTTATTGAAATTACTGCACCCACAGAAAGGAAAGGCCAACCCAACAGTGTAAAGTATGTTGTTCAAAGAAAGACAATAATGCAAAAAGAACTCGGAAAAAGATTAGATATTACTGTCCAGAATGTAACATTGTACTGTGTATTGAATGTTTTAAAATATACCATACATAGCAAAATTACTGAATAAATGATAAAATTGTCATTTTTATATTTACCATTATACTATGTTATAAAAATTAATGAAAAAATATACAATTTTTGCTCATCCTGTAATTTAGCCATTGGACTGGTAGGTGAGTAAATGCGGACCTTTCCATTCAGCACTGCCATGGTTTGAATGTGTAGATCCATCCCAAATTCATATGCTGGAATTTACCCCAACACAGTATGCTAAGCAATGTAACCCTGGGGAGATAAGGCCACACAAGGGCTACTTCACTGACGGGATTAAAGCTCTCATTACAAATGCTTTGGACAACGGCCTCCACCACCATCCCTTGACCAGGGGGACATCCAGACAGCACCCCGTGAGAGGGACAGCTTCACATACACTTAGCACCTCAATCTAGGATTTCCTAGCCTTCAAAACTATAAGAAATTTCTGTGGTTTATAAGTTATCCAGGCTGTGGTATTTTGTTATAGCAGCACAAATGGTCTAAGATAACATTTTCTTAAATTAATAGTAAATTTTCTTATGTATGGTATCAGTATTACGATTATGCAGAAAGGTAGTTGTATTCTCAAGGACACATATGCTGAAAATTTTAAATTATCATATCTTTAATATAATTTCAGCAGTCCTAAATATAAACAAATATGAAAGGCAATGTGAGTCATTACCTTTACTTGTTCCCTATCTTCATGTTTTCTATAATACTGAACATTGTCAGCATGAAAAGTTGAAGGGGTAGAAGGTAGAAAACATGCAAGGAGGCCAGCTTGCCTGAACATGAGGAATAAAATCATGAGAATCGGCCATGTGATCCCGGGATGGTCACATAGCTTCTCAAAGTCTGCAGTTAAAGAGGAGAGGATATCCTAGGATGAAGTTACAAAACCAAAAAGATAACAAATGAACCTAAGATTTAAGATCCTTTTCAGCTGTTAAATACTATTTTACTACTGTACCACTTTCAGCTCTAAAACTCAAAAGATAACCAAATACAAAGTGGAAAAACTCACAGGATTGAAAAAATAAAAATAAATAAGTAAAGGATTTGCCTTTCACATAAAGCACAAATTATAATAACTTCACTCTTTTGAGAAAAACACTTTAAAAAGTTTTCAGGGAAGAAACAAAAAACAATTTAGTAAAAAACTTAGAAGAAACAAAGGACACAGAATTAGGAAGACTTTATTTCAGTATCTAGGCAATTTCAGCTTATACCAAAACTATAAATTTAAAGAGGCTGAATATAAATATGCTGTGATAAATCCATAAAACCAAAAGCTAACAAATGAATTTCCTAGGTATTTAAAAAAGCTAGATACTTTCAAATGAGCCTAATATGATATATCTAATGACAGTATGCTGAAAATTTTCCAAAATAAACTACTAATAAAAATACCTATCAGAACTTCGTGTAACAGTCTGGAAAGATTTTAGACTGGCTAAAAGAATTTTCTCTTTTTTAAAGAGAATAAGGGCGCTGAGGATGTGGCTCGGCGGGGGAGCAATTGCCTCGTATGCACAAGATCCTGGGTTTGATCCCCAGCACCACCAAATACATAAACAAACAAATAAACAGATGATAAAAAGGCCTCGGACAGTGTGAAAATCCAGACCAATAACTAAATGTCATACAGGACTTTGAAAAGTTTGGCAAAATAAGCTCTGTGTTTCATTCTCAATAATATTTTAGCTGCACTGTAAGCAAAGGACTGGTTGGGGCAAAAACTAAAGCTGCCTTTTTATAGCTGAAGCAGGATGCAAACAACAAGGGAAAGATGAACAAAACTTACATTTACTTCTGAGTCAGAATTCACTATACTTTGGGATTCTTCATGTGTGAATGCAGAAAAAAAATATAAGCAAGATGATTTTGTGGCTTTTGGCTTTCAGCAACTCTGTATACTGATACAATATACAGAAACATTTTAGAGAACTCCTTCCTATAGGATTGGTTATGTTACCCTAAGAAGTTTAATTATAATGTCAGAAATAACATTACCATTGGAAATAAAGCATCTGAAAATTCTGCAATATGTAATAGTACTTTTTATACAATGGAGTACTACTGTGCTGTAAAGAAGGGTAGACCTGAGACATTTCTAGCTAAACAGATGCAGCTTGAGACCATACTTTTAAAGGAAATAAGATGAACATATGTTCAAACATTGCATTGTTTCTCTGGTGTGACCAACAAAAGGATAAATAAGGGCCAAATGCATAATAGATACTAGGAAATTAATAGAAAATGTTCAGATGGAAAGGGGAACAAGGGAAGGAAAAGAGATTAAGGAAGGAAAGGGGCAAAAAAGAAAAGAAGGAAAAATGGAAACTAAGTTTTGGGAAATAAGGGTTGAAAGGGAGAGAGAGAATTGTGGTAAAAAGAAGAATCAAGATATATCATCTACAGGTATAAATTTCCTATGATGAATGCTATCATTATGTACATCTAAAATATACCAATAAAATTAAGTTTTTAAAAAACACTTTTCTCCCTGAAATTGAATTTTCTATGACTTTTAATTAATTTTCGGCTTAATATCCTATGGCCTCAGAGTCTTTTTTGGAAATACAGAAAGCAGAAGGAATGGTAAATGTTCAAGAAAAACAAATGATGCAGTCAATGAAGAATCTAGGACTGATAGGCACATAGGCTGAGCAAACGATCAGATTGGGATTCTACAAATCGTTATTAGTTGAGAAAAATAACAAGTATATCACAGATAAGATAAATCCATGAAAAGACAAGCAAAATATAACCAGAAATATAAAATGAAAGCTGTCTGCTAAAACAGGAGAATAATGTCCCATAACGAACACTGCAAGCTGCGTGCTGTGCCACATCCACTGCACAGGCTTGCCTGTCCTCCCAGCACTCGGAGGCTGGGACAGGAGGATCTAGAGCAGTGGCGGTGAACCTGTGGTACACGTGCCACAGTCAGCTGTTTGTTGTCACTGAAATTCTAAATTCATCACCGAGCTGGAGTTTGAGGCTACCCTGGGCTACACAGCAAGTTCAAAGTAAGCCTGGATTACATAGCAAAACCTATCTCAAAACACAAAACAAAGCCCTACAAAATCAAAACTGTTACGATTTCAGAGAGAAAAAAATGCTTCACTTAATGAAGAACTGTAAAGTGATCCTACCTTACTATTATTCATTGCTGGCTCGTGTTAGCTAAAGTAGCAGGTCCATGTTGAGGTATCTACACATTAGGGACGAGGAACACACTTGACAAATGTGCAGTGAAGTCTCAGTAACGACCATAGGTCTAGCCAAAAGACCTGAGCTGCAAGAATAAATTCAAGGAGTCAGAATTGCTCACAGCAGAGAAAAAGAAAAAAATGCACACATGGAGCAAAGTATTACTGGAAATTAACTGTGTCAGTTTATCGGAGTCCCCAAACCACAGCGAGAATTCCATACTCACCTGTCTAGTCACGGCTCACTCTCCTCGTCTCTAGTGTCCCTATGTGTAACATTCTTTACCTTTTCCCCCTCCTACTCTCCACTTTGAAGAGGTAATTCTTGTTGTTCTCCATTTTCACAGAATAAAACTTTATGCTCAAGACACATCAAAAGCAACAAGGGATTGCAGTTGTTCAAATACTGTTACAGTCAGGCATGGTGGCACATGTCTGTAATCCCAACACTGAGGAGGCTGAGACAAGAGGGCTACCAGGCATTGTAGTCTAGCTGGGCTGTACAGTGATTTCAACCTGTCTAAACTACACTTCAAGACCTTGTCTCAAACACACACACAAGCATGCACACACACACACACGCACACACACATGCACGCACACACGCACGCACAAAGTAACTGTAACAACCTAAAGACTTAAGTATGTAAGAAAAAAATACTTCCAAAAACTGAAGAAAGTCTGAGAAACATGCTTCCTCCATTTCACATGTTTTTCAGTCCCAAAGTATGACCCTTGAATTGGCAGTTTTCTCCACAATCCTTCAAAGTGTAGATCTTCTAAGATGGTTCTTGGTCACTGGCTCTCTTCTTTATTACCAATGTCAATACACAGTCATCCCTCAGTACATAGGCGGGACTGGTTCAGTACAGGTGTAATTTTTTTAAAATATTCTTGATTCACAGGTGGCTGACTTTACAGTGGCAGAAGCCATAGAGAGAGCACCAACTGTATGCCATTTACAACCCTGTTAATGTCTCGTCGTTGGCCTGTGCTCTCCTAGATCTAATCCGGCCTTCTAGTTTATCATCTGCTCCCCTCCTCTTCCAAACCCTTCTTGTTTCATTTGCCAATTCTGTTTCCTGTCTTTCCCCCCAGCTTCCTTGACTTTCATAGGATTCAAATGACACTTTAGAAATGTTACCAGAAAGATCATTCCTTTCCTTCTGGTCAGGAAACTAACCAAACGCAGTGTGTCTGTTATGCTCTGAAACCAGTCTGCTAACCTTTAATGTTTTGTCAATTTCTATAGGGTTCTTTTCCTCCAAACAAGCATTTTTATTTCTTTTGCATTTGGCAAGTGTAGGGAGCCACTGAAGCTAGAGATTGATCCCGCGTGGGACTACAGCAAGTCTAGCCCTGAAAACAGCCCAAAACAAGCCAGGCAAACAACCTGTTCCAGAGCCAAGAAAAGGAGCCCAGGCCAGCCAGGCAAAAAGTTGCTAGGCAGTGTGGTGAAACTGACCTTCTTCTTCCAGGTGTATAAACTGCTATAGTGGTGGAGCAGTGTTTTCTCTCCCATCAGGAGAGTAAGGGCTCCACCTGACTCCAACTTTGTCTCTTCTTTATTTTCTCATCTTCTCACAGTCCTCCCCAAGAACCTCAAGAGCTGAATGGGTTAGAGCAGGCAAGAGTATCAGTCACTTCACCTGGGACACAGTACCCAACGACAACTAAAGAAGGAGAGGTTCACCTGCTTGAGTTTCCAGTGGGCTCAGCTCCAAGGTGGACACGGCATGGTGGAAGGACAAGGGAAAGGGAAGCTGTTCATTACACACAGCCAGGAAGCAGAGTGCAGGGAGCAGCCAGGAACAAGAGCACACCCTTCCAAAAATGCTCAGCATCTTTGGGCACCAATACAATGTAAATCAAAACGAACACTGAGATCCCATTTCACTCCAGCAGGAAAGACTATCATGGAAGTGAAAATCAAGAAATGCTGGCAAGATCAAGGTAAAAAAGAAATCCTTTTATATTGTTGCTAGAAATGTAAACTAATGCAAGCAGTATGGAAATCAGTATGGAGATTCATCAACCACGAAAAATAGAAATTCCATTTAACCCTGAATACATAGTGTCTTCCAAAAAGAGTTACACACATCATAGTAGAGTGATACATGCATATTCATGTTCATAGCAGCCCGATGCATAACTGCTAAATTATGGAATCACCTATATGCCCATCAACAGATGAATGGGTAAAGAAAATGTGGTATGGATACACAGTGGAATACTCCTCAGCCATAGAGAACGAGAAATTGAGTTACCTTGAGTCTACAAGGTACGCAAAACAAATCAGACAGAAGATTAAATACTGAATGGTTGGTTTCTCTTTTATGAGAAATCCAAAATACAAATAATTTAAGAGCAAATAAAATAAAGATGATAGGAAATAGGTTTTGTGGAGATGGGAAGTGGACTTGAGATGGGGAAACAGGATGAGAGCCTGTATAATTAGAGAGGTTGATGAGGAGGATTAAGCTTTATTAGAAAGTAATCACTACATATTTTACGACTTTGTGTATGAAATCTATGGTGAGTTCTGATAAGGAAAATATCTTTTAAGTAATACAAGAAATTTTCTTTTTCTAAATACTCGTCATTAATCTGTGTGTCTTGGGTGGCACTAATATCCACACTCTCAAGTTTCTGCAGTAGGCACATAGTATAGGTCTTCAGAATCAGCATGTACTGTCCCTGGAGCATTAAGTAGTTCAGGAATGGGTATGTGGCCCAAATTGAATAGCTAAGTCTGAATGCTGCCCTACATTTTTCTTTTTATTTTGCATTGGCAATTAAGCCCAATGCCTTGCTAAGCAAGTGTTTGACAACTCAGCTGCATACCTAGTACCCCCAACATTTTTACAGGAACTAATCAGGAAAGAAACTTCTTTTTCAGCTGAAGTAGTTAAACTGAAAGAGCATAAGTACCTACTTGACAATGAGCCAATACAGAGACAGTGCCAAAAGTCGGAAAGAAAAACAGATAAAATTCTGAAAACATTTTATCCCTTAATCTAAGTTCAAGTGTGAATAGATGTAGCTTCTGAAATTTAGAATTACTATTAAGAAACAATTTTCTCTGGATTTCTCATGTTCCTGAACAGTCACAGACTTTTAAGCAAAAAGTACAAAGATACTGAAAGAAACAGAAAACTTGGAAGCTGGAGCATGTCTTTCATGCTTTGGATACACCTCCAAAGACCTTTGGAGAAATGACCTTCTCTCCCATCCCTCCCTGGAGATATTTTATTTATATCTTATGATAATAAACCTGAGAAATCTTCCTACTTTCCTGTGAAGGTCATTTGCTTAAGGAGTAATTCTTCTGCCAAAAATGATGGCAAATGTGCCAACAACCTGTACAAGCTTCTGCACAGCAAAGGAAAACAACCAACAGAGCAAAGAGACAACCTACACAATGGGGAAAAAAATCTTTGCCAACTACTCCTCAAGCAGACACTAAAATCTTTTGAATATGAAAACAATTCAAAAAATTAAGATTCCCCAAAATAAAATATCCAATCAAAAAATGGGCAAATGAAGTAAAGAGATATTTCTCAGACATATAAATGACCAATAAATGCAGAGAAGAAATGTTCACACTACTGGCTATTAGAGAAATTCAAATTAAAATACCACCACAGTTCCATCTTACTCCAGAAAAAAATGGCTGTTATCAAGAAAATAAATGCTGTTGGTGGGAAGGGAACTTCTATAATGTTCATGAGAAGGTAAACTAGTACAACCGCTATGGAGATAAATATGGGATTTCTCAAAAATTGAAACTGGAAATTCCATTTGACCCAGCTATATATCTTCCGCAAAGAGTTAAAAACATCATATTACGGTGATACATGTATACACATCTTTATAGTAGTACAATTCATAATAGCTAAATTTTGGAAGTGACCTGTTTGTCCCCTGGCAGGTGAACGTATAAATAGAATGAGGCATTTATATACAATGAAGTACTACTCTGCCATAAAGAAGGCTAAGTGAGTCATTTGTGGGAAAATGGATGCACTTTGATACCATAATGCTAAGAGAAATAAGTTAGAAACACCAAATTTAAATACTACATGGTTTTTCTGGGATATTACAGTAAAAATATTTTGAATCTACTTGCCTAGCATCCATTACTTCTTTCCATGGTCACAGTTCTTATCTCTTGGTCCAAGCAGTTTAGACACTCCCTACTCTTAGTATAAAAAATGAACTTAATTAATTCTGGTCTGTCATCATATCTCATTCCTCCAATCATCCAGGATGGCGAAAGGACAGAACCCATTCGATGAAATACAGTCAATACCAGGTCTAAGAGGAAAAGAAGTTTTTTTTTTTTTTTTTTTTTTTTTTTTTTTTTTTTTTATGAAAGGTTTCCTTAAGTGAAAGAATTTAAACCTAGAGTGGCCATAAGCTCCACATGGAATAAAGTTTCATGAGGGCATAGTTAACACAAGGGAAAGCCATAAGTATCTCAGTGTCCTAAGTACAAACAGGAGTTTTCTCTTGTGGAAGATACTCCCAGTTTGCAGAGGGGAAAAAAGTACGCTACAAGATAAATTATTTGTCTAAACTCATACAACTAATTGCTAGTTGCATAGATGCAACCTTAGATAAGCCTGACTGGATCCTCCTTACTCTTCACTACATCACTTCCCTGCTCAGGAAAACAGTCTGCAACATCTCTGTTTTATAATTATTGGAAACTGTAATTTAAATTCTATAAGAAGTGAGTATTCTATTAACATTTGGAGAATGACCAAAAATAGAACAAACATATGTCTTCTTGCTTCCTGCCCCGTGCTGGTAATAGTTTTGCCTCCTGTCTGACATATAACATTTCCTCTTCCTAAATGGAATCTACTTTAAGGGCCATGTTTATTTCTTTTATCATCTTCAACCCTTTCCAAAAATCATGGTATTACTATACCTGCAAGACAGGAAAGCTAAGTCACTTTGCTCCTAGAATACCAGTTCCCACAGCATGGCAAAATAGGTGTCAAAATACAGAGAGGAAGCAAGAACATTAGAAAGAGGTTATTAAAAAGTCTAGTTACTGTCTTGTTATAATTGACTTAAAATCATAAGAAAAGGATACACATATTATCCCAGTTCGGATACCACTGCTCATGTTAGCATTTAAAAGATATTTCAAAGGGGAGATCACTATATATTTTGTACATGTACAAATTCCCTGTGATGAATGTGATCATTATGTACAGCACAAGTGTGCCAAGTAGGGTGTGGTGGCACACCTGGAGTCCTTGCAGTTGAGAGGCTGTTGCAAGCAGACTACCTTGAATTGAAGGCTAACCTGAACTGTAACATAGCAAGATCCCTGTCTCAAAAACTCAAAGAGAGAAATTTCAAAAGAACTACATTAATTTCTAAAAAGTAGCAGCTATTAATAAACCTCTTTCAAATATTTGAGGGTGGCAGGCAAGGGGAAAAAAGAGACAAGATTTATGAATATAAGATCTCTGACATTTTCAAGAAATCTAAATAAAGACCATGAAAATTTTTTACAAAGCTAGAACAGTCTGTGAAAATGTGTCACAGATTGACTTCTTTCCCTAGAAGGTGTAACGGATTGATTCATATCCAAAGACACTGAATTCAACATTCCATTTTGAAGCATATTCAAAAATGTCTCTTTTTCTGGCTAAGATCCACAACTTCCCTTAGACATATTTAATTTTTCTTCTTAAAGGCCAGCCTCCTTTATTGCTTCACAAAAATAATAGTATAGGACAATATCAAACAGAACAAACCCAAAGTGAAATGTAGTCAAGAAATAACTAAGGTTTTAGATCTCATTTTGAATATGTTAAAAAAAAAAGGTATCAACAAAACAGCAAACATTCACATGAACTTCTAGAGTCACTCCCAAATTACAATTACTATTAAATCAAAGACTAAGAGTTAATACTTAGATTTTTACCATTTATATTTATTTCAAGTTTAATGTACAAAAGACGTGAGCTCAAATTCCAAGGTCATTTTATAAATATTTGAATAGATGGTATGACCTAAGATTGGTTTCACATTACAAAAAAACAAGCCATCCAATTCATAGGGTTGTCAAAAGATAAAAAGAGCCACACACGGAGGCACACTCCTATAATCCCTGCACTCAGGAGACTGAGGCAGGAGGACTGCTGGAAGTTTGAAGCCAGCTTGGGCTACAAAGTGAGTTCCAGGCTAGCCTGAACTGCATAGCATAACCCTGACACAAAAATACCAAAAAAAAAAAAAAAAAAAGAACAAAAGAAATGTACAAATGGTGCCTACTACTTTTAGCAGTCACATAGAAATTTGTATAGCACCTCCCCATAATATATTGAAATCTACGTAACTTATTCAAAAAGTTTGCAGACATAAATTTAATACTTGTTAGATCAAAATGTTGAGGAAAGAACTACACATAAATAAAAGAATACAGTGTATATATTTATATTACAGGTGTATATACTACTTATATATTTATATAGGTAGATGTGTTTGGAAGAAGATATCAAAATCACCCTTTTTATAAGTTTTTATTACACATAAATCTAGATAAATATTCTTGTGCTTCATCCAACATAACTGCTTATAAATAACTTACACAGGGGCTGGGGGTTTAGCTCAGCGGCATAAGTGCCTGCCTTGCAAGCAGGCAGTCGTGAGTTCGATCCCTGGTACCGATAAAAAGGAAAAAGACCAAAAAAAAAAAGACTGCTATAAATAACTTACACTGTGGCCTATCAAATTGTCATTAATAATTCCCTAGACAACTATATTGTTTAGTTTCCCTTAATCATGCTACAGTTGCAAATTTATTCAATATATAGAAAGCATACAGACATAATGATGTGACCTACTTAACACATGTGTGATAAATTCAGAATGAATGTGAAATGTGACAGTAAGTGGAACTGTCACATTAGAAAGTCCACCATGTTTCATAGAGTCCATAGTACACAAAGAAAAAAGGTTATACTTAAAAATGGTAGGTTTTTGGAGGGCGTTTGCTTCTAGAAAAGCTACATATGCAAAATCCTGATAAAACTTAAAATGATGATTAACCTGTGTAGGACTGTCC